ATTTTACTAAAATGTTTAGATTCATGTTGCTAACAACATTTTATATATAATTTTACCAAAGATTCATGTTGCTAACAACGTTTTTTACACAAAGAATTCAACGTTTTATATGCATTTTGTGTTTAGATGCATGTTGCTAGCAACATATGTTACATTTGTACTTATATGTTAGTTTTCATATTTTTCTTGTCGCTACATTAAAATGATTTATCTAAAAATAATTATATCTAGCAACATTGTTGAGCAACATTTTTGTATTTTGATTTTAGTATTAATGCTAATAATGTTGGGCAGCATGTTTTACCCTACAATGGAATAGAACCCACTTACATTGGTACTAATTTTTTGATTTCTGCAGTTGAATACATTTTTTAATGGATTTTTGATAAATTTTGAAAAATTGTTGTTTTAGGTATGTATTGTATATATATTGACAATATTATAATCTATTTCCAGCAATCCACGTGTGCCCTGCTCCTCCATGCCCCAAATCGATTTGAGCCAATGGCGTGAAAATGTACAAGGTTGTCAGATTGGCAACAGACATGTGCGCGTTGGTGAATCTGCATTCCCCTCACCATGCACCAGCTGTGTATGCTCCAGCGAAGGGGTAATTATTAAATATTTTAGATATTTTTAGCAGAAACTTATTTTCTTCTCAACTTACAGCCACAATGTGCTTCACTGCGCATCACCGACTGCGGCCAACTGATTCGCCAATGGCCGAAAGAAGCCATTCTACGCGACGAAGTGTGCAACTCCCAGTGTGGCATCTACTTAAATGGCAATGGAAACTTTGCGCAGGCGCGCCAGGCATCTGTGCAGGCACCAGTGCGCGTGCAACGCTCACGCCCACAGAACATTTTCAAATTCCCCGATCTAACACCATTTATTGCGTCCCTGTAAATTAACTCGAAAGCCCATAAAATATAAATTAACTTATATACGTATAAACGGGAAAAAGTAGCGATTGAAGGAAACAAATGAGTGACCACGTTGCTGAAAAACCGCAACAAAAGGCAAACACTTTTTGAGCAAAGCTATTTAATTAACAATAAGTTATTATGACGTTTACAGCAAAAGGGGAATATAACAACAAAATAAAATGTGCGCAACCAGTATATTGCACATACGATCCTTACGCTTAGCGTAAGAGCGTACAGCCTACAGCCTACAGCCAATAACTAATTAAAATTAATTGTAAATAATATTAAAGAGAACCTACTACCACTACACACATATACTTAGTTGCCTTGCAAGTGACTGCAGGCGTACATCTAATATTGGTATGCACTGTAGTGTGTAAATAT